GGCCCTGGCGAAGAGCACACTCTTCGGGGCTCCGAACATTTCGAACGGATAGGCTACCACACACACACACACACAACAACACCAACTACAACAAAAATCATCCTCATCACCATCCTCATCATCATCCTCATCATTATCCTCATCCTCATCCTCATCCTCATCATCATCATCATCATCATCATCATCATCATCATCATCATCATCACCATCATCATCATCATCATCATCATCATCATCATCATAGCTTACATACATGTATATAGCTCTCATATGAGTATAATCTCTGTTTGAGTATTATGATGGCACGGTCCAAGCGGACAACCTGTCTAAGATTACCACTTTTTATTTTACAATTGATGATCGCCCTGGACAAGTTCTATTGTATTTCCGACAGTAGAGACCGAGTGGTCAGCGTGTGAAACATTTTCAGGTCCCAAAACAAGGAACACTGGTTGCCAAACGGGACGATAGGGGAAAAATAGAGGTACACAAACAGATTTAACTATGGATGATTAAGCAAAAACAAAACAAGAACACAACAACATCATCAGTAACAACAACAACGACAATGTCGACTACAAATTGAAAATATAGGCTAATGCACAAATGGACCAATGGATCATTAGTGGCGAATTGTAGTATTTTCCTGTTTGCACTTTTTTTTCTTCAATAGAGGAGGGTTGACGGTTGCGTTTTTTTCCTTTTCTTATTTGTTTTTTTAGGGGAGGGGGGGGTATTTTTATTTTCATTTCACGTGAAAAGACTAAATTCAAAAGTGTAAGAACTTATTCATATCTACGTGTTTCTTTTTTATGGTGTTATGTTGAATTCTTTTTTTTTCGGAGAAGGAGGCAAGAATGAGAGTTTGGGATGTAATTTAACGTTCTTCTCTCGTTTATGATATGATCTTTTTTATTTAGACATTTTTACGCCTTCATCGTCTTATGGTCGCTTTTAAACACAAGGGGGCTATCCCGAGAAATGCTGTTTTGAGAAAATCGACGGTTAAAGTTTTTGCCCCTTGTTCAGTTTCTTTAAAAGACAAGGAGAATTTTTCTCTATAACCAAACAAATATACACACCAATAAAACCAAACTTCTCCTATAGGTAGGGCAATGCCCACTTTTGGTGTAGGGCAAGAATTCTGGAAATCCCCGAAATCTGGGTTAACCCGCTTGTCCTGTAAATCGACCATATTCCCTCGCCAAATCTAATGGTGAGTGGTTGGTGGGTGCTCTGGTGTGGTTTGCTTCTTCTTTCCTATCAAACATCTATCGTCCTTATCTCCCCTCCTTCTGTTTTATGTTTGTTACTCTCTTGTAACACCTCTAATCTTCTGGCGATCATATGACCTTTTGCAGTTGCAGTCTAATGACAGCATCCCAACCCTATGATCATTGCCCTATGATACTCACGCTGGCTCGGGTGTGTCGCACGTGGTGCTCAGTGAGCAGAGAGCCCGTGAGGTCGGTGCCTGGGTCTGTCATCAGGGACTCCGTCAGCTCAATCTGGCCGTCCGTGCCCGCGCTCCGCCGTACCTGGAAGGTGAACACTTTGAGTGTCAAACATTGAGGTCGTCCATTTGACGGTCTACCCTGACTGACCATGAGTCTTTTTTTGCTTTCACAATTGGCAAGGGTTTTGGTTTGGATTAAGGTTAAGGTTAAGGTTAGGGCCCCCCAAAGTTTAGTGAGCTCAGAAGCTTGAGCGTACTTGGAAACTGCAGATTTGCATTTTTGTGCCATTGATCACGGTTTTTCAATTTTTTTTTCAGTTTAATCCACACAGACTACAATGACAATGACAATGACAATCTTTATTCATCTCGCAGGGAGAAATTTGTCTTGGTCGTTAACAATGGCAGTAGACGTTACAAA